GGAAGCCGGTCCCTGCGCGTGGGCCCGCCTCGGCCCCACGCACCCACCCGCGAGCCCTCAGCCCTGTCACGCTGGCTCGCACCGCGCCAGGCCCCGCTGGGGTGGCCATCGTGGAGGAGGGCCCGGGCGTCCTCTGTTGAGACGGAACCGGACGCCTTGACGTGCTCTGTGTGAAGAGAAAAACAGGACTGCAGGCGTCGGGTCTCTCATGGGCAGAGGACAGAGTAGCGGAAAACAGGGACGTGCCCTGTGCTGGCCGCCCGGAGTCTGCCACGCTTGAAGAGGCCGTGTGCCCGGTGGCGCGACCAGTTGCGCACGCTTGTTTCCGTTGTCCAAGGACTGAGCGGGAGCAGGCAGTTTCCTCGAGTCTAAAGAGGGTTTGGCCTGAGCCTAAACAAAACCAGCAGCACCAACCCCGGGGTGCGCAAGCTTTTGGCCCCGTGGGCCAGATGAGTGGTGCAGGATGTGTCTGAGGCCGGATCCAGGCCACGGGCCCACAGTGTAACCAAGGGCCCACGTTGAATGGAGCCCCGCATGTGCCAGCCATGGCCCGTTTCCCACTCCCGGCCCTGCCTGCGCCAGGCTGGGCCCTGCTGCCGCACCTGCAGCCCTGCACAGGCTGAATCAGGCTTCTTGCCCTGCGCCAGGCCCAGGATTGAGTGCCCCTGCTCTGACCTAACACCGTCCCCATTGTGGCCCCCTACCAATGGACCATTAGGCTCTCCCAGCTGAGAATTTCAGAAGGCCACGTTCTTTCCATTAGCCCCTGCTTGGGGCCTTAGAGGCCACATTTCCAGCTTTGGTCTGTATCTTTGGGGCTAGAAACATTTTTTGTTTTTCGTGAAAGCTAAAAACTCTCCTCATCCTAGCAGCTGGGCCATGAAGACAAGCACTTGCAACATAATCGCTGACAACAGGGGAAGAAAGGGAACAAGAGGACAGGCTCCTGGGTGTCAGGAATTTGTCAATCAGGAGGACACTGCTAGGGTGGGTGCTGACATCCCTCCCTTCTTCTCTCAACGGTTGTCTTATAAATCATTTTGTAATCAAAGAGGAGTTCTGTGGCACGGGCACCCTCAGCCCTGTATATAGGACACCTCTTCACAAATTCTGAGTATTAGGACCTTTCTTCACAAGTCCTAACTGTTACACTTTTACAACATGGCTCAATATCTTCCAGCCTTCAAAACTGTCTCCTCCAGAAGTCCAGGTCCTAGGTCAGATTTAGTTTCCAAGACTGTAGGGATGCTCTCACCTACAAAATAGTAATCTATGATTGTAAGGACCCAGACCTATGACATGTATACTAATGTAAAGCAGTTATGTGCAGCAATGTAAATAACACTGCTGTCTGCCAAGTGTCTAAGGACAAACTCAGCCATCTGCCTGGCTTGGAGGTGAGAGGCAGAGATTGATGGCAGCTGCTGCCCTTGCAGACCTGTGGGGTACTTCTGAGCAAGAACATCTGCTCCAGAACCAAAAATCCCAAGCAGGACCTGGATGTGCCCAGAGACAGAGTTTTGTGCATGAGCAAAAAGCATGCATTTACTGCACCTTTCGTCTCAAATGCCCTGCAGAAAAAAAAGACTGGCGGACTATATCTAGGAGTGCGCACAGTGTGCACCATACCAGAGCCTTGCCACAGTGGCAGGAGTGCACCTGTTGGTCTAGGAAAAAAAACAACTACACCAGGACACGTGGACGTGTGATCTACACGTTTTCCCTGAGGCAGCAATACGCCAGAGAGGTTTATGCTGCCTATCTGCTCCTTCCTTATGGTGCTGTAAAGATCAACTACACTGGCTGAAGACACGCAGTACGTCTGCCCCAGATGTAGTTCTATCTTCTCCATACTATGCCCTTCAATCAGTGATTTTTACACACAAAGCACTGACACTTTCCCCCTCTTCAGCAATGAGCTGGGCAATTAGACAAGAAACAATTTCCATTGAACCCAGTGAACAACGGTCATGTGGGAAACAGGTTTATTTCCATCATGACACATAAGCAATACAGTCAGCCAGATAAATGTCACCTGGCAATAAAGTGGTAATGAAACCAAAAGCCCCATCCAACTCCAGGCTGGTGACATGTATGAAAGCTTTCTCCAGAAACCAAGATGGCTACGGACTCTATACAGCCCCTAGTCACTGCTGTAGGAGGGACACCTAGGTATGATTGCAGGGCTGTGATGCACCACAGCCATGCTGCAGTCTCTGGGCCAGGGCAGCAAGCTTGCCATCACCCCATCTGGCTGGGTCAGGACTCCTGGCTGCCGCTCCCCACCTCCCTTCCCAGCTTCTCCCTGGCAGCAGTGTCTCCTTGTGTGGCTCCCTCTCCCGCCTGGACGCTGAAGGGAATGGCTTTCCCCTCTGCGGGCTGCAGGGCCAGGCGTGGGGCCTGGATGCAGAGCTGTCCATCTGAGCACAGGGAGCAGGTCACAGCCTCCAGATCCAGGCCCAAGGGCAGCAGCATTTCCCTGCGCAGTTCCCGGTACTCCTGCAAGCTGCCTCCACCCTCTCCAGCGCTCTGCTTCTCACGCCTCCCCGTTACCGTCAGCGTCCTGCCCTCCTGCCTCACTGTCAGCTCGTCTGGTGCGAAGCCGGCCACATCCACACGCAGCTCGAACTTCTTGTGCTGCTGACCCCCAGACTCTGGCTCCTGCTCTGTGGCCCCAGCCTGGGCCGCTCCATCCTGCCTCGGCTCCCCTTGGCCCGCAGGCTCCAACCACAGGAGCGGCTGGGCCTGCAAAACAGTACGGCTCAGCCTGTCCATCGCCTCCACCTGCCGCAGCAGGTCACTTGCCATCTGCTCAAAGATGCTGGCTGGCCATGGCTGCAGGAGGCTGCTCATACTCTCGTGGCTACAGACACACGTGGGCCACCAGTCTCGCGATGGCCACTGCCGCACAGGGAGCAGCCGCACCAGGCCCCGGGAGTACCGTGCCATGGCTCTGCTCCTGCCACACACACTGCCTTTGCCTTGCTCAGCTGAGCACTGCCTCTGCTGCCTGCCCGGCTGCCTTTTGTACCCACGGCGCCCTTCCAGGCGCTTCCTGAACCGTCCTCCTCCTGCCCATATCTGGGCTGAGCCCTCCCCGTCCGGCCCTACGTGGCCTTGGTGGGAGGGCCCTGGCCCTGACTCATGAATGATGGATCAGGGCAGTGGAGCAGGTGACTTGTGGCACTGTGTAGCAGGGCTGGCTGCGTGCTCGGGGCTGGGCTTTGCTGGAAGGTGCCTGAACCCTCTGGGGCACAGTGTGGGGATGGGCTGCAGAGTGAATGGAGCGGCTCTGGCTGGGGCCATGGAGCAGGAGCCCAAGTCTGGGGGTCGGCAGGACAAGAAGTTTGATCTACACATGGACGTGGCCAGCTTCTCTCCAGAGGAGCTGATGGTGAGGCAAGAGGGCAGGAAGGTGACAGTGGTGGGGAGCCACAAGAAGCAGAGCCCTGGAAAGGATGGAGGCAGCTTCTGGGAGTACCAGGAGATGCACAAGGAAATGCTCCTGCCTGCAGACCTGGACTTGGATGCCATGACCTGCTCTCTGTGCTTTGATGCACAACTCCACGTTGAAGCAACATGCCTGGCCCTGCAGCCTGCAGAAGGAAAAGGCATTTCCAGCCATGCCCAGTGGGGAGAGGGAGCCACACAAACAGACCCTGCTGCCAAGGAGGAGGAGAAGCTAGGAAGGGAGGTGGAAAGCAGCAGCCAGGAGTCCTGACCCAACAAGATGGGGTGATGGCAAGCATGCTGCCCTCACCCAGAAACTACAGATATTTCTGGGGTGTATCCCTGCCCCAGCCAAGGAGGAGAAGGAGCTGGGAAGGGAGGTGGGGAGCAGCAGCAGCCAGGAGTCCTGACCCAGCCAGAGGGAGTGACAATGAGCCCACTGCCCTGGCTCAGAGACTGCATCCATTTCTGGGGTGTATCCCTGCACAAGCCCTGTGATCCCATCTGAATACATCATGCTTAGGAGTCCCTCCTGCAGCAGGGACTGATTGAGTCTTTCCCATGTTGGACTCTGGACCGAACTCTTATACCTGTGCCCAACCTGGAGAGGAATGGGGCTTTTGGTTTCAATATTGCTATTTTGCCGGGTGACATTTATCTTAGCCAGGTGATGGTGATCTTTCTGAATGTGTTGTTTGTGTGTACTTGGTGGAAATAAACCCGCATTTCCTACATTCCAGTTGGCAGTAGATTGATTAGAAACTGCTTTTTTTTTAAATTTCCAAACAGGGAACAGTGGAAGATGCAGTTGCAGTGACCTTTAAAACCTGTCCTCTGAGGCCTGAGCATCACCACACACTGTCTGGCGACCTCAGGCCCTGTATTTTGTCACTGTCTATATTTGCATACGCTTTCAAAGTAAATTAACTAGCCTGGGAGCAATCCCTTCCAGCAACTGGGCCTAGGCCTGTGAGTCTGAGTTACATGAGTGATCCACTGGATTGCTGTGGAGCCACTCACTTGCTAAGGATTTATCAGTTTAGGATAGGGGTGGCGAACCTGCAGCATGTGTGCCTCAAGCAGCACAGGCAAACTCTGTGTGTGTCATGAAGCAGATGGAGCAAGGGACAGTCTTTTCTTAAGTCTCTTTGCTTAAAAAGCCCTTGCCTAGTGCCTCACATCCCACTCCCACCATGACTTTGTTATCACCATCCTTTCAGAGCTTTTGTTGTACAAAATCCACTGGGCACAAAACATGTTTTCTAATATCAACTCTGGAGACGCCAGGGTTAAAAAGGCATCGTGCTGCCTGGTCCCCACTTCCTACCCTGCCATTGTTCCTTGGCTTTACAGCACAGCTCCCTATTTAAAGGAAGATGACAAAGTTGGTTGAGCTTAGGCCAGTCAGGAACAGGGGCTGGTTTATGAACAGCGGGCACTTGAGGGGCCTTCAGCAGCGCAGGCTCTATAGTGCAGGCCCACTCTGCTTTCCCCAGGGAAGAGCTTTCCAAGCACCTGGAGTAGTTTGTTTGGCAACAGCAGGTAGAGGTGATGGGCGGCATTCAGCACCTGTGACACATCAGGCCCCACAGCGTGCAGGGCTGCGCCCATCAGATGCTCCAGCTGCTTGAAAAGACTGCTCTGCAGCTTCCATCCCTGTGCTGTGAGTTGAGCTCTGCTCCCTCCTCAGCCTGGACCTGTAAGGGCAAGCAGCATGCCCAGTTCCTGGAAGACAGCCAGGACGAGGCCCCAGAAGCTTTGATCTGCATCTGCCAAACTTAAGGAGCAAGGATACTGAGGGGCTGGCAGCACCACATTCCCTGCAATCTCTGTGTCTCAGATAAGCAGTTGTAGCCTGGCTGCCAGGCTACGGGACAGGGCCTTGGCCTGCTCCAGCACAGCCCTGCATTCCCAGAGCACCTGCCTTTATCACTTCCCCCAAGCTCCCGCAGTACTCAGTGCTTCTCAGCAGAGCACTGACATTGCTGCTTTTTACAGGCAGGAGTGGGGCCCTGCCTGATGGGGGAGTTTGTCTGTAGTCACACAGGGAGTCCACAGCACACTAAGGAATTGGATCAGGCTGCCCTGACTCCCAGCCCCACACAAAGCCATGAGGCCATTCATCCTTCTTGGGAAAGGAAAAGAAAAAGAAGAGCACAGGGACAATCTGGGAGCCAGCGAGCCTGGCAAAGGCAGCAGCAACACTTGGAAAAGACCAACCCATTTATTTAATATAAAATAACGACCTAATACAAGTCTCAAGGGCAGTTAGACAGTCTCCCACATCCTCCCACCCCCATGGGGCCTGCATCAGTCTCCAATAAGTCTCAGCTCTGCTGTTGCTCTGGGAAACTGCTCTCTGCTCTCCTTGGCTCAGCCAGCACAACAGCTGTCAGCTCTCAGTCCCTGTTATGCCTTGGATCTAACGTTGGCCCCCTCCTTGAAGCCCGCCACAGCTTCACTCCCCACTGTCCCAGTGGGGTGATCTGGATGGGTACGTTCCTCTCCAGGGCAGCTATCAGTGCCTGGCGTGGGGCTTCAATGTGCAGCTGGCCCTCACTGGAGATGGAGCAGTTCACGTCATCGGGGTCCACGCCCTCAGGCACGTCCCACTCCCGCTTGAACACCTCAGACTTGTAGGAGAAGGAACCTTTACTGTCTTCACTCTGTGTCTCCTTGCCTGTCTGCAACACCTTCCTGCCCACTAGTTTTACTGTTAGCTCCTCAGGGGAAAAGCCCTTAACGTCCTGGGATATGGTGAAGCCCCTGTTTGTTCCCTGGGGCAGGGTCATGCTGGTGCTCTGCTCTTGCTCTCTGCTCCCTCCACTTGCTAAGAGCTGCTGGACACCGCTCATAAAATCCCTGGTCCGGTCCATCTCCCAGCGGACATCCTGCTCCAGCTCAGCAATGACAGTGCTGGGTTGAGGCCACAGCGTGCGCACAGGGCCCACCCAGGGAGCCAGGGTGCAGTGGGAGGGCGGCTGGAGGTGCAGGTGGCACAGCATCTCTGCTTCTGTGGCTGGCTCAGGGCGCTGGGGCTGAGTCCTCTCCAGTGGTCCTGGAGCTGCTCTGCTCAGCTAGTGGGAGCCAGTGGCTTTTATCCTCTTCCTGGCCAGGCCTGGGCCCATCCACAATTCTCGGTCCCATTCATACCCTCGAGATGCCATCTTCTATTTTTAAGCAGCTGATGGCTTAGGGATTACTCATGTGCCAAAATAATAGCACCTGCTTCCTGAGGCAAGCATCACCCATCCAAACTGGGCAGTGTAGTCACAGCCAGCCGGGGGGTTGGGTTACAGAACAAGCTGCTGTGGTCCAGCTGAGAGCAGAGCTCACAAAGGAAGGTGGGATGGGTGGGAGCACATCAGGGAGTTTGAGGCTCTTCCAGACTAAACTTTACAGCACATTGCAGAATTAGGGACCACATGTTGTGCTGAGGATTTCTGTGTTATAAAAACAATGCACAAAGGGTTAATACATTAAGTAGATATTTTAGCATGGCCCCATGGTGCAGGCCTCAAGAGCTGGTTTGTAAACATCTATTATGTCTTCCTCCTTCCCCCCACTGCCTTTCTAGCACAGGCTACTCTTACTGCTGGATCTTCCAGCTGTGGCTAATGAACTGCTGCGTGGCACCAGGGCTTGCCCTCCCCCCCACTGGAGTCCAGCTCTGCCCTGGGAAGGAGGAGAGCTGGGAGCCAGTTAGCATTAGGGGCTATAGGCTTTACAGGAGGGATAGAGAAGGAAGGAAAGGTAGGGGTGTAACACTCTATGTCAAGGAGCACTACACATCCTCTGCCAGCAGAATGGGGTCAGAGGAGGGGCAAGCGGAAGTGCTCTGGGTCAAGATACAAGGGGGCCATATGGAGAGGGATCTAACAGTGGGGGTCTACTACAGACCTCCCAACCAAGGGGAGGATCTGGACTGGGAATTTTTGGGCCAGCTTGCAGAGGCACTTAAGGTGAAGAATGTAGTTGTTATGGGTGATTTAAATTACCCGGACATC